CTTTCAGCTGCTGCGTTTTTAGATGAAGTCTTTTCCGCTGAGTGTGCGGTTGGCCCTGTCCTGATGGGAGGATTGACAGGTTAGGAAGTCCATGAACTTGAAAATGCGATCTGGTTGAATCAGAGCTGGTTTATAATAAGTCTGGCCTTTTCCTATTTCCCCGGTTATATCAAAAACGGGACTGCAAAACGCCAGAGGGCGCCTGCGAGCGAGCCCTCAGTGAATGTGGGTGAATGGAGCTAAACGGTGAAAGATGAAAAGTTAAAATAGTTTCTAATAACTATTAAGGAATTTATTTCACTAAAAAAAAACAAAGAAAACTTACCTGTATGCTCCCTTTTTTCTACAGCAAACAGGTTTTGTGCAGCAGGATGCTAGCATTACTGCTACTGAGTGCTGATTGGTTGGCAAGCGGAGCAGCTCATTGGCTGTTCATACTGACTGACGTCATGAACGTACATGAGGTGCCCTTTTAAATTTCTATAACTCGAGTTAAAAAGCACTCATAAATATAACAGTGGGGTTAAAATATGTAATGCTGTTCTGTGTACTGTTCCCCCGCGACCCAGAAGGATAAACGGCTTAGAAAATGTGTGTGTGTTCTGTGTTTGGGTAATGAATGTATTCCTTTATATGGAAAATGATTATATAAACTTTGATTTTGCTCAAATGCTTTATCTTAACCCATTCCTTTTTGGAATCGCTTTGGAGCGCCCTCTAGCGTTAACAGAGTGGTATTTCTCCTCTCTACAAGTTCTCTGGTTAAATGCATTTTCAAAGGTATTTCGACGCAGAATGAGCGCAGTAGGTGAGAATATTATTGCAAAGAGGAGAGGCGCTGTTTCCCATCTACATTTGAATTTTCACTTCTTTCTAGCTTGGCTTGCAGTTTAATGCATTATTAGAGAGTGAAAATGCATGTAAGATAAATTACTTTTTAATAATTATTATGATACAATTATTGCATAATCACATTTAGCCTTAATGCGCAGTTGTGGAAATACATTTTAATTTAAATAAAGCTTCTCATAAAGCATCTAAATCCTTGTGTAAATGAAATGTCAATACTAGCATACCAAATTAAAATCACAGTATTGAATTTTCATTTTGACCTCAACATTACATATCTGAGTGGGGAAATTGAAAAGTAAACATGTAAATATATTGCCATTTTACATATTACATTTTCATTTTAATTTTGATACTGATGCTTCCATATTTTGCCTACAGCAGTTTGGCACCACCAAGTAATGCTGAGGTCATAAGAAGTAATTTTCAATAAGGTACAGTGCAGTAAAATATGCAAAGATGCCTTTTCCTTTGAGTTTTGGACAATTTGGACTGAAATAAATGTTTCAGATGGGCTACCAGGTTGGTAAACAGCAATTGCTATTTATGTTCTTGTTTATCTTTACCAAGAGACACAGTTGTTTGGAAAGGGAAGACAAACCAAATCAGGACTGAAAAAGGAGGAAGTTCAGTAAGCTAAAAACAACAATAAAAACTCTGACCATATCTCTTTCACTAGAACCAACTGCAGACTTCTCTTTTCGCTAAAAGTGAATCTGAAAGAAAAAAAACATGTAGTCAAACAGTAAAAAGCAAGAACAAGGTCAAAAGGTCAGTGTCAGGATTAGGGACTATAAAGGCTGCGACTTACTACGTCTTTATCTTTTAAGGTTTTAGGATATGTGTAATGTATCCTTGTTGCCTGCATTTTGAAAGTGTATAAAAACATGAACCGAACTAAACTATTTATCAGTACTGATGGGCAGGCAGCACTCATGCTTAAGGAGGAATTCCAAAAAACCCCAAAATTTCCATAAAATGAATGTGCTTAATGTGAAATGGTTCTTTATGAAGAAAGTTACCCAATAGTGATGAAAACCAGATTTCTGAAGTGTTTAATCACTCTAAAAGCTCCCTCACAGAAAGCTGTTACATGAAATGGTTATGAATATGCCACCTGATGCTTGAGACATTGTTTTGTGATAGTTCTGAGATGAAAACATATTTTTAAAGCACATTCATGGTGGAGAGGTCCCCAAAGAAAGCTTTTTTCAGGTTTAATACTATTTTACTATCATGACATGTAGGTTCACCGGTGGTTTTGGATAGTAAATAAAATGGCTATTATGTGTTGAAGACATTGTGACTCCTGGTTCTTATCACCACCACTGTAAAGAAATCTGAGTCACAGTTTCTCTGCACTAAACCATTTCACATCAAAACACTCTGAATTACCTTGTTTACATCGGAGTTGCACTTTAAGGTAGTTGGTGAGAGGGTATTCATAGAGGGTGTTCAATGTACACGATTGCCACAAGATGGCAGCCTTGCTTAAACGAAATGAAGTAAAAGCAGCCAGAGGGCTGGCTGGGTCACTGTGGTAGAAAAGAGACGAAATCTAAGCCCAGGCAGCAGGCCTACCTGAACGTGAGTATCACACAGTGAGCAGATGGGCTGTTTGACTCAGGCCTCAGGCGTGCTTTGAATAATAATTCTTCAAGAACACAGACTCATTATTATGCTGAAGACTCTGGAGCAGCCTGAGATGTGAAAGCTTCCATTGACTTGCTCCGGAGAAAGACAGACATAGAGAGTCAGTCTCTAAGATCTTTTTGAGCTTCTATTAGTGGGTTTTGGCTGAATAATATTAGTGTATATCTGCAGATACAGAGCTGTGCTGAGACTTGTTTTTTCAACAGAGATGGCAAGTAACTAGTCACTTGTACTCAAGCACATGCTGGATTCTTGATGGATTTTTAAATGATAACACTTATACATGAGGATATATGTGAGGAAAAGAATCTAGTTTTTACTCAGTTACATTTTAGCCATTAATATGTAGTTCCAAAGTCTTTTTTATTTCATTCTGTTACACTGATTCTGCATCTGTACTGCTTTAGTGTTGCTCTCATCTCTCACTTTGAAGATTTATCTTTTCCTTTTTAGACTGAAAGGATCCAAAAATAGATGAGTATCAATTAATAATAGTCAGTTCTACAATGATGAAGAACATCAGCTGCAGCTCTAATAGTTACTCAGAACGTGAGTGTTTTTTTTGGCCGGCTACTTTTGTACATATACTAAAGTATGTTTTGCTGGATTACTTTAACCTCTACTTTATGATAAAGTTTCTTTGTGAAAGTGAATCGGTTTAAGTCGATACGTTTTAGCCTAGCAGTATGGGACATAGACAAAACTTGGTTTTGGACTAAAGTGCAGTGCCATTGGTGACACACCATTGAAAATTCCTTTTAGTCTAGGCTTATTCTGGGTTTGGAAAACAGGCCCTATGTAGGTAAATCCTAGTAGTCTGGGATTATATATTCATTTACTTATTTATTTTTACTTATTTGGCCTATAAATCTTTACTTTTGACCCTCAGAATGTCTGAATGATATAAAGACAAGCAGTTCTACATTTCAGATCTTGATTTTCCTTTAGTGCACTGCAACTTGTACAGCTAAATTTTTAAAATTTTGGTACAGAATGCCACTGGTGAAAGACTGCATGCGACTGCTGAAAATCCAATTTTGAATCTGAATAACAGTATGAACAATACATAAACAATAAATGAGTAAATAAAAAATATACTACTGTTTGATGTTTATCTAAAATATAGCTAAACACTGCCTCTCTTCACATCTTTTAGCACCCTGGTCTAAATAGTAATATATACTATTAACATGTAAGTGTATACAGCAATGCATGCTAGACGTCCTGGTCTAAACAGAAACATATGCTGTTTGCACCTTTCTGTAAGTATGGTTGGCATTGTGGTGACATGCCTTTATACCATATACTAATTTATTCTTATTTCAGAATTGTGTACATTTCATGACCACTGTAGAAAATACAGAGTTTCTTCATTATTACATAAAAATCTTAAATGTACTTGTTGAGTAGCCTAATTCATAAATGCATTTTATTTTTTATTTAACTCCTATATCTCTTCAATAAGATCACCAAAACTCTTGCATTAGCAGTCAACTGGTACAATACGATACTGTCCAGTAAAGCTGTACTATTCATACTGCATCCAACCGCACATTCATCTGTATCCAAGTGTAATAACTGATTTATTACATTTCCTACCTATTTCTCAGCCCAGATGTCATATAAATATACAGTGCCCCATAATAATTTAATTTAATTACATGTGGTTATTGTATCATTTTAAAATACAAAATGTCTAGAAAAAAGAGGCTAGCTATGTGTGTAGCAGTCTGAGCTAATTCACACTTGCATCACTATTTACTTAATTACAAAAAAGCACAAGAGATATCCATTTTAAAATATGTTCATTCCCACTTATTATTAGTAGAAATGACTTCTTTCCAGGTCTCAGACAAAGAGTGTTGTTTCAAAGGCCTAATAAAGCCTTAGCTGTTTTGCAAGGTATCAACGCATTATCCAAGTTAGTTAGCGATTAACTAACGCTAACTTTCACGCAAGTTCTGTTTGCCAGAACCACCACTGTAAAGACATAACTTGCAAGCGATCAAGGTAGCTAAGTTTCACGTAATGAGCTCACTTTGCCACAACACCATTCTCCCCCATTTCCCCACAACCACCTTCTTTTCCTTTATCATACTAAGTTTAGTTGTTGGACATGAATGAGTTAATAATTTGTCAGTCTGCATCTTTTTTATCTTGAAAAAAAATGTGGTGGCTCGAGAGAAACTTCAATTCAAATGCAAATGTTCATGCATGCAAATTTAAAGCAGTATAGCGAATGTGATACTACATTTTAAAATGCTCTGCCTGTTGAGACATACACCTCTTATGCTACGTTGGCATTTACATATGACATTTCACTCCAAAAGGTCTAATATCGTTTTTAGAAATACAAAGAAACTTCTTCTTATTTCATAATGTTTAGCACAGGGTCAATGAAAGATCAGTGATTAATGGCTTATCACTTTAAAGCTTACTATCCTTGAAAGATAATGTGGTGGTCTAAGATGAACTTGGATTAAAAACTTCAAAAAACATTGAGTGATTTATTTCTTTTATTTAAAAAATTAAAATAAAGTGCGCTTTTATGTACAGTATAATAAAAACAGAAACAGTAGTTGATGTATAATACAAAAAGTACATTTCACAACAGTTGTTCTTTTCTTACATTGGCAGCGAAATTTACAAATACACCTTTACAACAAAGTTTACAAGACGTTAACTTACAAGAAGTCAGTGTGACTCGGTGCACTGTTATAAAGAATGAATTTGGATCGAGCGTTTAAAGACTGAAGTGGACTGTAGCTCTTGGACTCCAGCACTGAGACAAAATAAAACCATCGTTTCACATTAGTCTACTCAGAAAGAACTGAAGAGAGTGAGTTTGTTCGTAATGACCATTATTCTCCCGTGTATATCTGAAGATGATTTCTAGAAGAAAATCTGAGTTTTATGTAAAATAGAGATATCTTAAATATCTTAAATATAAATACATTAAAACTGTTTTGTGCTTACAACATTACATTGATGTGTGAGTAAGAGAGAGAGATTATTGGCCGTCTATTATGGACTTGTGTAGATACGCTATCCACAATAGAGACATAGTCCAGTAGTGGACTGTTGTACAGATGATCATTCATAATACAGTGGTTTTCGACATATCTGGGTACTGCATACAACAAAATGACGTAACGTGCCATTTCGAACTAAGACAGTTTGCAATTACTGGCCACAATCATAAGGCATTTGCTCCAATGAATTCTGAGTTATTATTTTTTAATTTTCTTTACACGAGCATGCCAGTGTGAACTCTACGGTGTCCTCAGAGGAGGCATGCGTGTGAGATCTGCAGTCTATTCGCGTGATTGCGTGTTGACACCAGAAGGCTACAATGATGTGTTCGATCGTTGGAGAAACACCACCTTTGATTCACAAAATGTAGCTTAAAGGCATTTTTAAAAAACTCTCTACAACAGAATTGTCAACAGAATCATTGTAGCCCTGTTTAGCTTGAACTAAGGCCTTTTAAACATTCTGTGAAAGAAAAGCAGCAGTTGTGCCGTTTGGTTTTTTCCCCTCGAACACAAAACCCGTCAACCAGCCCCACACAAACATCATAGAAATATACATATGTACACGTGACTACAGTGGCAGTCCGTCAGTAGCACAGTAGCATACTTGCATGGCTACTTTGTCAAAACATGTCAAATTAGAGCTCTCATATAGAAACATCTAGGCTAAAACTTAAATAAGACACTTTTTTTTTTTACTTAAAGAATAGTTTTGGAATACTTTCAATGAATTTGTCACTACATTCCACAAAACGAATGTTTGAGTTCGTACATTAATACCCTCAAAGTGGTGCAATATGACATCCATCTTTGGAAAATTATTAGGTCACAATATTCAAGAATAATCACTGAAATGGCAAAAAAATGTAACCTTGAAGACATTTTGTATTATTAACTATACAAGTATTTTTGCACATGACGTATGCTGTTAATATTTTATTATTACAATATGCTGTTATTAGGCAGTTCGCTTGCTCATTATTCTCTAGCAGCCAAGCTCTGGTCCATATTTTGAAACAAACTGCTCTAACCACCCGAGCGACTGAGTTAGGATCCGTGCACCCATCCAAAGTGACTGTGTTAGACTATCCTTGGCTCCTGGATGGTAAACGTGGCACTTTGTAATGAAGGAGAAAAAAATGTAAAGCACAAACTACACACGTTCATTTGAAAAGTGAGTACAGGATGATTCTAACGTAGCCCAAACGCAAAGAAATTTCCAGCAAATATAGCTGAGTGGACAAGAATAGAATGAAAGTTATTCCTTTTAGAATATAAGAAGTACACCTCACAATTTTGAAAAATTTTAGACCCCTTGTGCAATATAGTAAGCCAATGAGAGATTTATCCATTTATTGTCTAAATATTTGGCACAATGGTCGATTGATTTGGTTCTGTAAACAAGTATAAGATTATTATTGGTATTGGTCACTTTCATCGTCTGCTTCTCTTGAATCTTCTCTGTTTCTTCCCTAACACAGGCTCATTAGCCATGGACTGGACCTGGACTATGCAGGCTAAAGACTATTTCTTTTGTCCTTTTCTCCTTTCCTGCCTTCATTTCTCATCACGCTCTCCTCGTATCGTTTGCCCTCTTGGGCCCTGTCTGCTTGGGTCCTGGCTTTGGACTCATCACATCTCACTGCGCAACAGCACCTCAATCTCACTTGCATACTTGATTGTATGTGTGTATCTCTGAGAAGCAATACTGAAGACGTGGCTTCTTGCTGAATGCGACAAAACTGCTGTGTGCCCTACGCTAGCTTTACTAGATGGAATTCCTCTTCTTGCTAAAATCCCAGTGCTTTGCATAGTATGCCTGCCTTGTGCTGAGGTCATGATGATTTACAACTACAGGCCTTGCATATATGTGGTGAGGCTTTTTATTTTTAGCAAAGGTTGTTCACATTAGACGACTTATGCTATCTATTCTGATTTACTACTAACCAAAGGCTCACCCTCTGATCCTAGGCACCTTACTTGGCAGATTGCTCCACTATTTTGTCGTCCACACTTCAACCTGCCGTCACTCCACCAGGGAGAGGTGGTCAGTGTAAGGGAGAAGTTAATGATCTCCAATGGCACAACCAATGAAGTATATGTGAGGGTGTCAGGTGACCCCTAAGCCCACTGTATGACATGCCAATGGATGATTAGGACGGAATGGGCAGGACATGGCTTACATGGCTTACTATTGGCCATACCGTAAATGTTCTCAAAAAAGCTCGCCATATTGCCTACATTCATTCTGGGTTCATCTAGGCACAGCTTTAACAGTCTGAAGATTGCTGCGCCTTTGATGCACTCCAGAACTACCAGTGACTGAGAGGAAAATGTGGGCAGACCACCAAGACAAAACGAGAGGACAAAAAGTGCAAAAAGTAAACCAAAGATGGTATGAAATGGTCCAATGGTGATGAGTTTGGAGTCTTTTCAGTGTGTCCCTCTCACGGTGCTGTCTATTCCCCAGCAGCCCTTCCGTACCACATCAAATGTCGTCGTTATCTGAAAATAGAGTCTCAGACGATAGAGTCTTTGATCTCGGAGCCCAAGCGGACTCGAGGTCGTGGGCAGGTGGGCGATATCTCCACGTGACTCTCCTTTAGGTTCAGCGGCCGCTTCTCTGATTCAGAGAAGCTCTTGCTGTTCTCGGGTGAGGAGCACTCTTGTATGGGCGTGCTGCAGAAGTAGTTGTCATGGAGTGTCTGGTAGCCCTTGTGATCCGAGACAGAAGGCGGGATGTTGTTGCCGTTCAGCGGTAAGCTCTCCGTGGGCTTCCCATGTGCCATGCGTGCCTTCTTCTGCTGCATGTTGGGGCACTCGCCCTCCTTCAGCATGGACTTCATCCGGTCCCGGTTCCGGTACACCACGAACAAGGAGAAGACCACCAAAGAGAAGCCCAGCAGAGCACAAACCACGATCAGCTCGTTCCAGTAGGTTTTGGTTTCGGTCTGTGGTGAGCGAGCCTCGCCCGGAAGGATCATGGGCTCCTCTTTGGGCACCATTGGCGTGCGGGAGCGGCCAATCAGGGTGGTGCTCTCGTGCCGGGGCTCTGCCTTCACACAGTAATTGGCCAAGAGTTGCCGGAAGCCCTTCTCCACCGACCAGCATTCGTACGACTCCTCTCTGTCCGCCTGGGCCACCACCACTAGCCCCCCATCAGAGCTGGGGTAGAGAAAATGGCCGGCGCTATCGCTGTACTCCCATCGCCTCTCCGCCAGATTAGAGCGCAGCTTACAGGGCAACACTCGAAACGTGTTCGCTGGAATTATGATCACTTGACAGGATGGGGTACCTGTGGGTGAATATAAGTGAGTAATTATTATTAATTCAAATTTTATTTTATAGTTATGTCATAATTTTAAACAGCTGCTTATACTTGGTCAATGTGCCCTGCTGAAATAACTGAACGCGCAATTATGTCTGTTTAAATTATAAACCTATACTATATCTATAACAAACATATCTGGTATGGCAGTTGTCTTTGCTCTTTTGTGCTCCACTTTGTTCCTGCTATAGCACTTTCAAAGCACCCTGAATTAAGAAGGCCTAAATACAGAAAAATCTCAGCAGCAGTTACTTTATCACAAAGACATTAAGGGTGATTTCCTGGACATGTATTAAGCCCCGTCCTGAGCTATAAATAAATTTCAGTGGAGAATCACTAAATGTACTTTGATAAAAGGGCTATGATGACAAAGGCTTGACTTAATCTGTCTTTGTTGTGAAGTAGGTCTGGCACTCACGTGTGGAAGAAACTCGTGTGAGACCGTGGCTGGGCAAGGCTTTATCACACAACGATGCAGTGTTGGCATCTTCCACATCTTGCAGCAGTTTACTGTGAGAATAAGAACAAATGGGCCATTACAGCTAAATGACTACCAGAGTTACCTTACTTACACAAAATCTTGTTATTGAAAGAATAAAATATTCCGAAGGGTCTCCAAGACATTTTTACAGTCCTAAATCTAATCAGCTGACCTACGTTCAAAGCAATTGTAAAGTACTGAATATACACACGGCTATGACTGCCTCACAACAACTGAATTCTGTATTACTATGCCAAATCACAAAAAACCTTTGTGCTGATAATGGAATAATCTTTGAGTGTAATGGTGCTTGCATGGACCACTGAGTGAACTGATAGGTAAAGTAAGAACCTGTTTTATTTAAACGGAGGGGTTAACATCTTACTTTCTTAACTAGAACTCAAAAAGAATCAGTAGTGCTACATTTTAAAAAAATAATATCAGAAACTGTGAGAACATTGATTTTTATTCAATATTTAGAACTCTGCATTGCACTAAATCCAGTAAAAACGTTTACACTGTTTTTTAAAAGCAATAAGCCACATGTTGTTTTTTCAGTATTAATGGTTAAGGTTACTCTAACCTATGTTAGCTAACTAGACTACTTTAGCGACATGGCACATAAACAGGCGTCTTATCGTGTCAAAGCATATCCTATTTTGGGTTCCATTCATTTATTTTTATTTAAAATACTGACTGAATATATATATATATATATATATATATATATATATATATATATATATATATGTAAGTAATACATTTTGACCAAATTCCACAAACATGATAAGCATACATCACCAAAATTCCTGCATGCATGTTCTTGCAGACCACTGTTATAGTCCAAGTATACAGCTCATGAACAGTCATACTTCAACTACCAAAGGGTACAGAATGCCCAATCCAATAAAAAAAACTTTGCTAACCTTTTAGCAGGAACATGCCTGACATCTACACACTGCCTCCCTGTCCAGCCGCAGTAAGGGTCTCTGGAGAGGATACACTCTCCACAGCTCTGGTAGTTGGAGCAGTTAGCCACAGGGATCTCCACCAGTCCAGAGTATGAAGACACGAACAACAGACCCTGAGCCAGAAGAGATAAGACATGAGGAGTCAATGAAAATGTTTAAAGTTGCACATAAGTGAGATGTACACATAAATGAGTACATAGATTGATGTGGCTATTTATGTAGGTTTAGAAAAGGTTACGCTGGCACATAACATCACAATGTATTGTGTTTAAGGGGGATTCTGGCCTAAAAGTAGTGTTACATTTTTTTGTTTTTTTATGCAGCTTTCTGTAGCGTCATATTCCTGAGCGTTGTCGGTTTGACAGAATTCACAATTTTATATGCTTTTTGTATTTTTCTTTATCACTGAATACCTCATACAACTACTAGGGATTTCTGTAGTGTCAGCCAATCTAAATGCAACCAAGCCAGCATTAGCATAACTCTTGCCTGCTGATTCCATCTTTTCGTAGCACAAAATGGATATCAGAGAGTTTGTTGCCCTTTCAACCAGAGAACAGAATCCAATCTAGATAGCCAGATAGCCAAGCAGATAACTAACTAGCTGGTTTCATTTCTGTCATTTGAGTAATTCATTCTCTCCATTTTAATAATGATTTGAAGACAGTTCCCACAATTTCACAGTTGCACTAAGACAACTGGCTTTCCAGTGGTAGCATTAGCTGTTTGGCTTCATTCTGCAATTACCAGATTGAAAAAAATTAACAGCCCACCCCAAAAGTCCACTCCAAAGTTCCTTCCCACCTTCAAGATGTATCACCAGAAGGGGGTTTTCCTAGTCTTTAAACTCTAGAGACTACTGCGACACCGCTGTAGAGTGCGAGCATGCATGTTTACAACAGATGTAGCAATGGTTGTATTTTTCATTTTGCCTGGAGTATCCCTTTAAATGTTTGTTTTAATTCTAATGTCTTTTACAAGCAATTAAACACAGTGTCCTGATAATTTACTTAAAATTTCCCAGGTGGCCTAAACCTTTTGCATAGCACTTTACATTAAGTAAAATTGTTCCTGCAGTGCAGAAAGAGAGATACACAGTGCACTGTTTATTTCCCTTTTGTCCCATCACTTCCCAGAGAGAATGAAGAGATGTAATTATAACAGAAAAAGTTAAATTCCCCTCCAGCTCTTCACAGCAGAAGGGAATTCTAAGCCTTCACTTCACCAATCCCTTCACTACTTCTGCTTCATGAAGGTTACCTTACCTTTTCAGCGTCCAGCTCGATGTGCTGCACAGGCTGGGGTTCAGGGAACAGCACCAATTCCTCGATGATGTGCATCTTGCCCTTGGCGTTGATGGCTTTATGAAGCCTGCCGTCATCTGGAAAACAGGACACATCAGGGGATTGACACATCAGCTTGAGATCCAAAAGACTTTAAAGGAGGGGTTCCCAAACTTTTTATCTTTGGGGGGCAAAGGGGAATGTTTGTGGTGGGCCAAGGGCCAAAAAGATAAAATGCTATACAAATAAAGAATGTAAATAGGTTTCAAATAAAACTTTTTACAGTGCATTTTGTTACTAACATACTTCAAAATAAAACATTTTAAAGGAAAATAAAAATTTACAAAGTTATATGTAGTACAAAATTACGTATGTTCTCTCATTGGGTGAGGGGGTGGGTATAGGGTAACTTTCTGGCGGGCCAATCCAAACATGTGGCAGCCCTGTTCTACTGGGAAGGATGCTGATCTAGAGTGAGGTTAGGTTGTAGGCTATACTGGTGCCTTCAGGCGATGCAGCCGCTGTGCATATTTTGTATTCTACATGTCATTTACACCACCCACCAAAAGTTTGCAAACACCTTGCCAGTTACTTTTTATAAAACATACTTGCAAAGGTCCTGTTAACATAAATTAGCTATTTCCCAATGCTTTGGGTACATTTTGGGTTTATATTAAATCATAATTTAATAGTTTTCTTTTCCAAACTGTTGTCAAAAGAACACAGTAAAAATCTAAGAGATCAAACTCCCGTCTGCAGCATGGAGGACAGAGCTGTTACCCTCTACACTATACTAACCACTTTTGGGCTGTAAATGGATTACTTCATAGATAGTGTCACTAATATTAGCACCCTTTTTTGGCATTATGCACAGTCCCATTTGAAAATCACTGATGTCCACTGAGCGTGCCCATTCCTTTATGGTTAGCCTCACCTGTCCCAACAAAAAGCACGCTGTAGGCCTTGTGCACGGCCTGGACCTGGTGCACGGCGATCTGTGTGTAGCGCACGCTGCGTTTGAGCAGCAGAGGCTGGCTGCGGATCACGCTGTCCATCAGGAAATGATCCTTCACAAAGTTCAGCACTTTATCGGGCATGTGCAGAGAGGAGGAGATGCCCTGTGCTCGCGCCGCATTGGTAATGCACTGCAGGGGAGAAAGAGAGGGGAGAGGTCAACATGGGTGGAGATTTCATTCCTACACATGTACATAAACACATATACATTAGGGGTGTAACACAATGCTGCTATCTGTAAGTGAATGTGTGAATGTGTGCAGTGCTCAGTTATCTGTTTTCAGATTTGAACCGCATGACCAATGTGGCCGCTAACAGCAATGGATTTACTGGATGCTTAACTTTATTAATGCCAACCTAAATCTTACATGGTTATACCAAAAAATGAAAAATATCATGATATAAAATTTTAGAAATATCACCAAGCCCTACTTGACACTATGTTTCTTTCAGTGAGTAGTGCTTTGAGTAATGTTTTGAGCCAGTATAAATTTATTTGGTAAAACAAATGCTAGGGTTGCCACTCATCTAGGATTTTGGTTGGCTGGATACAAAATATCCAGGAATCCAAGCATTTTCATATGTTAGCAGTTATGATTTTCCCACTGCTTCTTTTTATCCAACCAAACAATCTGTACACAAAGACAAAAAACTAAAGTGTTTCAGAAATATGCAACGTTTAGGCACTAGGCAGCACTGCAAAGCCATAACTAAAGAAAATTTGGTTCTGTAAATGCATGCAAGGCTGCTGTTTCCAACTAAATCAATGTCTAATCAAGTGTACTTTGCATGTGAATTTTGGTCTAGTTTGTGTAAAATGTATTTACAGTGCTTTATGTTTATTCAGAATAAGGTATTTTTATTCATCTACATCCCATGTGAGTATGTTGTAATTATAGTCTGCATCAGTGTAGACATTTGCTGCTTTTCAGCACATATAAGAACGCTGAATATCCACAATCACTCTATCTCACACACTGACCCCAGCGTTCTTGCTTTCTGGTTTTTAAGCAATGTGTTTATCATGAGTATCAACACACACACATACGAGTGCTATTAGTCTTCATTTTGAACCGTGACACAGATGCTCCTCATCAGAGTGTGATAGAAAGGCAGGAAATGAGTGTGGAGAAGAACAGCGATAAGAATCGGAGCCGGTGGGCAGTGGGTTGACCGTGCTGGTACTGAGACAGATATCAGCCTGCGCAGTGATGTCCTGAACAGACTGAAGCTCAGACTGAAGAGCTGCCTGGTGTTCTGATGAGCTGGACATATGCTCTGTCTAGACAGTGTCTGAGGGTCAAGTTTCATTTGCACTCAGTCTCCTCTAAGACATCTGTGTTCCGAGATCTATATGACTATCACCTGATTGAGTACTACAACAAACTTTTCTGTAACTTATCTTTTCTATTGTAATTGTAAACGTGGCTGTGTTATATCAGCCCAGTCATAATAAAGTAATTCATGGCCTCAGTTCAACCACAGTAGCACAACTGGCTGTTGTGTGAGCTGGATGTCTTAGTTCTCTCTTTCTAATAATACTTTTGTGTGATACTAGCCAAGATGCAGGGACTGGGCTATATGCATCTCAGAGCTAGAGGATGCTTCTGTTTACCCCCACCCTCCCATACTGGTAGTTATGGTGCAGTAGGCCAACACTGATTATGAAAATATGCTAATGTGTCATTTACTTAAAAACAAAAAATGCTCCCTGTAATGCTCTTTTTTATACAGGGCATTCTTTTCTGCTTTTATTTTATTGTGAATACCACAGTTCATTTTAATCTGTTGATTTTTGGATCTGTTGTATCTGTTTCTATTTTAATTGTTTTAACTTGTGACATTTTTGTCAGAAAGTAAAAAACTTTACATTACTTTTTCTTACATTACTCATACTACCCGTATATCAGTCTGTTCAATAATTACAATGTAAATACAATAGAACTAAAAACTATATAAATAAAGATTTGATCTGATATATAGTTATTCTCTCAGACTGCAATACTCTACAGGAGGCGCTGGGGGCAGTATAGCTTTGACTGTTTTGCTGCACCATGAAAGAAGAAATCACTGAAACTCGACCTGCAAAGGAAAGAAACTAAGAAGGCATATTAGTTAGATTAGCTGGTTCATAATAGTCAGTAGGTTAACTGATCATAGAACACTAGGTGCAGCCCCCTGTCAATAACAAGCTACAGGATGCTAGCTAATGATGTTCTACAGTGTTTTATATGTTCTATATCAGCTCTAACTGTTATAGTAATCATGTTAAAATGGCATTTTGACTCAAAACTAGCATTAGTAATTATGTTCAATGTTCTGCAGCCCTCAACCTCACTGTTTTGATTGAATTTGAAACTTTGTATCGTTTTTGTGTTTCCGGCTATCGACGTTCTCTCACTGCTACTGCAGCATGCAATACACAAATACATCACACCGCCACTGGGATTCCTAAAGGTGCTTAAGAAATCCTGACTGCTAGCTTTGCCATCTATCTAGAGGCTAAGAAATACTGTGGTTCTACCTAGCAATACTGATATAGTACTAATCTCAATTGGTGATTAAACTTATTTCTTTGTCAAAGGAAAAAAATTCAAACAGTTTGCATTAAGTATCCAAAGCCCTTGTAATCTTTCTCGTTCAAGACACATCATCAGCAGGCGAGTTTCCTAGACTTTAAACCAGGAAATCGCACTTTAGAGTCTACTGTGGCACTACTGTAGAAAGAGAGTAGACATGTTTACAAAGATATAGTGATGGTTCAGTGTTTTATTTTGGCAAAACTGTCCCTTTAAAAACAGGTGTATGACTTTGTAGGTAGTCCACAGATGTGAGTTGGCACAGGTGGACTGAATGTTCTTTCTGACAGAATGTGGTAATTGGCACTAGAACATACCGCTCCAGGTCTAGGCTCTGGGACAGGGTGGTTGTAAGTGTACCACTGCTGAGTCTCTCTGTTAACCTCTCGATAACGGCCATTAAAGGCTTCCTCCACCTGGTCCATGTTGAAAGAGCACACCGCCGAGCTACCAGACGCACCTTTGTACCTGTGAACACACAAACACATGCAAATACACACATTATTATTTGTGACTGATGTGACACCCACTTCTCCGGCATCTGACCACTCCTAGTAAACACACAGCTGAACCACTTCACGCCTTGGAAAACATGACAACACACTCCCCCCAGTCTCACTGGACATTAAACATGGAGTCCTCTTACAAATCATTAGACTTAACAGCCCTTGCATAACAGAATGGACTCTGAGTTTCTGTTTTCTTTCTCTGCAGGTTTGCTTTCATTTTGAGACAGCTCTGCTTTCTCAGACTGTTCAGTGACCCTTTCTGACCTGTGCTTCACCCTACATTACCACACTCAATCAATAACCAAACCACCCACACCAAACACAGGCAAGTGGCTGTAGGTCAATAACAATGCAATATGAACTGGGAGTAAACTGAAGGCTTTGTTTTGAAAAGCTTTCTGTTTGCATAGGCCTCCCTTCTGTCTTGCAATATTAACAAATATGCCGGAACAAATCTGATGAGAAATACAAAACATATTAAAGATGTTTTAATACCTTATATAACTGTATAAGCCTGTACACACCTGGAAAAAATGTGTAAAATATATCAAATTATACAGTGCATACTGACATAGGACATTTTTCCACACATCAATACAAGTACACAACGCTCATATGCCATAAAACAGTCTCTTACCATTGAGAAGTGAAGACTCCATAGAACACAGTGCTCTTCCAGTCCTCTTTGCTGGGGGTTAGGACAAACATGTCCTGAATGATATTGAAAGGGAAGCCGTCGTCAGGCAGAGAGCACAGCAGCTGGGCTTTCAGGAACGTGGTCCACTTCTTCTGCAGGACCCTCTCTCCACCTTTATCACCCTGCAGTTACACACAAACATATAAGTACAGAAGCCTTACATTAGAGTAAAACCTAAACAAAAAAAAGACTTACCGGCTGCTTTACTAGATGCTAGTAGAAGACAGGTATTCAGTAACTATAGCTCAACATTTCCATGCACAATTTTTTAATCATTTTCTATATCAGTGGCCAGTCTCTGACCACAGGTCCTCTGTTGACTGGATATTTTTGGTTGGCACACTACACACTACACACCTGACACGCTTGTGCCAACTCAACACACACTAAAATTATACTACCATGTTGGTGTCACTGCTGTGTTGAGAATGGTCCACCATCCAAATACTACCTGGTTAGTGGTGGTCCCTTTACATTGGCGGACAAGGTAGAGGAGGGCTGATAAATTGTGAAGATGGGCTACAGACAGTAAATGTAAACCTACAAAGTGCACCTGTATCTGATCAAACAGTCTGCAAGTGCAAATACAAGACATTAGAGAGGCAGAGGTAGAAGATGTTATTAAAAAAAGAGAATAGACAACAAAGAAGCTGCCAGTGTTCTCGGAACAATGGACTGGCCAACCTAGAGTCCAGACCTCAACATCAATGAATGTGTTTGGGATACTAGCAGCAGAAAATGCAACCAAGACTGAACTGTTGTCTGTTTTCTTCTTGATGTTGAAAAATTAGTAACTTAATAGCCGTTAATAACTGTTTTGACTGGAAATTTAATAAATGAAAGTTGGTCACTGATTTTGCACAGTACTGTAAGGCCTGCTGTGCACCTTCTGATTCACTAGAGGGAGGCAAGTTCACTAACTGAGGCATCGGTGGTACAAATGGAAATTCCCAGACACAAACTGTTCCGAAAACCACATTCAAAGAAAAGTCTTTTGCTTTAGTGACATGAAATAAAGGAATGGAGTAATTAGAGGATAATGAGAACCATGCTGATCCATGCAGCCAGTGCAGAGCCATTTCACGCTGATCTGAAATCAGTTCTGCACGTTTCCCAACAGAGATCTTGGTTAGTTGGCTGACAGCGGCAGCTGAGGAGCTGCTGTTGCGTGCCGTGCATTAGGATTGAGCACACTGGTAAGTGTTTGAGAGTGGGGTTTATCTTCGGGCTATGGGGGCTTTGAAATGGGTGCTTCTGGGTCATGAAAACAAGTGTAGCCAGCCGAGAGAAGAAAAACACTACAGGTTATTCAAAGGGCCAAGTGCTTTTCAGTCTGAGGAGAAAAGGGCTCTGCACATGGAGAATAAGGCTACATTAACTCCAGCACTTCAAATGCGTGCCCATGGCTGACCATTTACCAGCAGTCTGAGCCTGGGTGCTTACTGCCGTGACTAATTTTCACAGGGATGGAGTACATGGAAATAAACCCATTCTACAGCAGAAGAGCAGCTTGTGCTCATTTGGAGATCAGGTCAAGTACATACCCTGGAATTTAGGTGTGGAGTTCACTCAAAAGTACATAGAAGAGGAGATAGAATAAGAGAAAATAGGAAGAATAATTAGAATGGAATAAGATTATACACTAGAATAAGGTCATAGTTTCACAGTTTATCTTTGTAGTGCAAACTGACAAAGTTTCAGATGCACAGATTGATTCGAGCATATTATCCAAGAACATGAAAAGCCTGCTCTCACAAGAAGGTCTATAATCTACATAAAAGATGAAGAACTACTCCAGACCTCAAGATGACCCCTTTTTTTCTTGTTGTTAACCAAATTGCAGTCTGGACGTGGGTCTTTCTCTCTCAAGTCCACCTTGGCCCTGTTTTCGTTTGAGAGAATGATGTCGCTGAACTTTGCGCCAAATGACACGTGACTAATGCTCAAGTTTCTGAAGCAATTACTTGCTTTGCTAACCCGAGCAGCGTCCCCCCGCCCCTCCTCTCTCCCCCAGCTACAGCTTGTTATCGTTGAATACCTGAGCGTGGAGAACTCTCTAACTCTTCCCCTCTGAATGCCCCGTTGAAGTTAACCCTCCAAAACATGCTTTTACTTTAAAAGACATTGCCAAAAGAGCTAGCCACGTCTTTAGTGACAAGGTTCAGGTTATGTAGAGGAGCAGAGGCAGAAAAGTGGCAGAGGGTACCTCTGTGACAATGAAATATACGGTTACACACTGTCAGTATATTCCAAATTCGAATTAGAATATATTGTAATGTATTTTCAATGTATTGTTTTTTGGTACGAGTGAAAAAGAAAAAGACAGAAAGCAAAAGAGAGAGAGTGGAACAAAAAATAATAGCTGATATAATGAAACTGGGGACGCAGGTAACAGAACCATGCCATGAATTACACAAACATATTCTAGGTTTTCCGGAGCAGCTGCGTATTATTCCAGAGCGCGCCTTATTCCAACTTTTACGCCAAACACCTGAATAAACAACAGAACAAGGAGTAGGATAGAGCAGCTGATTAAGAAAAGAGAGAGAAAAGGAAAGGAAAGAGAGGTGAGGGTAAAAGGAAAGACATACGAGTGAAAGAGCGTTATATCAAAGACAGAAACATGGGGGTGGTGGGATAGTATTTATCCAACTCTCTTAGGCCTCCACCAAAATAAATGAGCTTCACTCTCATTATAATATTTTTGTAATACAGTACTCTGGCCAACGCTCTGGCTTTACAGAAGGAGAACAACAAAACATTCCACTTGGAACGGAAAGGGTTTTTTTGTCTGTATTTTTTTTTTATAGAGAACAGCACTAAGGGGCTCAACTGAGTTGGACAGCTCAGGCTTCATAAATGCAGGAACTATTTGCATTTGTGGTCTACTATCTTTAGAAAACATCTCTGGATATGAATAGTCTTGGTGTCACCCACTGCTACCCAGCCATGCACTAATATTTCAACAAGATATAGAAAAGTGCTCCATTTGCTAATCTCATTCATATTGAACACAATCCAAGGATGTTAGTAACCTGAACCTGAAGATCCAAACTGCATTCAATGTAAATTTAGCAGTGGAAACTAAATCAGGACCAGTTTAAGGTCATTCTCTAACTGTCCAGCCAGGCAATGGCCAGTATTGTGTGATCTAACCACCACTTGGATTTCTGACAGCTTTACACATGAGCGTGACTGATTTGGCCAATTCAGCCGTCTGTTGCTGTTCTCCTTGCGGACTGCACAGGATAAATGGTCTGTGAAACAACCCTTAGGGTGGGATTGACTGTTGGCCTCCTTCTTGTGAAAAAGGACAGGTACCGTATGGTACAGTGCCAAACCAGAGTGCAGAGAATCCGCAGTCGAGAGTCCTTGTCTGATTGTAGCCAGAAACTGTATCTGCAAATAAAGTTGGCATACTGCAAAAATTAGCATCAGCAAGGCATATTAATAGCCTGACTAAAAACACAGCTGTTTTCCTTGTAAGAAGTAGCTTATCAGTCTCAGCTGCCATTGCCATCGATCAAGAACATTGACCTCTCGGCCAAGCAAAGGATCTACTGCCTTTCTGCCTCGTTCATTACTGACAGCTTAGCTTCCCACCTCTGTCTTTCACAGCAGAAATGGAGAGTGTGACAAAAAGTAAAGCTAACAGAGGCCAGTTAGCATTAACTAGCCCACTAGCCTTCATTATCGACTTTAGCATTTTGGAGTTGAGTATTCTGGTGTTTCCAGCATTTTCCAATCCTGGCCTTGGAATGTCACTGTACATACTCTGCACTCAGCATTTTCCTGAGGCTACGTTCAAATCACCAGGTTGAAGTGGCACAGATGCCACAAATGTTTTGCCTTAATGTGACATTTTTTCAGTGCTTCATTCTTGTGAATACAAAAATCTGTTCAAAGCAGGCCTGATGTGGTCCTAGATATCTGATTTGAGTCAACCTAACCCTAATTCATGTGATTTTATCCACTGTTCTTGCACATATTACCTCATCCAGTGTTGGCAGCATGGCAGCAGCAGCTAACTTGCAGTTAGTGCAAGTAATTTTTGCTAAAACAATGCATTTGGCCTACTTCACCTTCTCATCCTCATCACAAACAGATAAGAGCTGTTATGAGTCAAAGCCTTGTGCTGCTAGTTTGCTCACTTATTTGTTATTCTTCATGACACACATGGATCATTCATGTGCAGTTACTGATTTGAATTTGTGCATGCGGGTTGTTTCAGGTTCACACCAAAGACATGGGAAAGATATGGGACATTTACCATAAACCATTGAGGCAGAAAGATTTGATCAAAAATTGTAATTGAGCAATAAGCCCTGTAATGTCAACACAGTCTAACACACCCATCCCAAAGGAGGGAGGGTTAGCTGATTAGTTGGATCAGGCGTGTTATGGTGTTTTTCCACCAGGCAGTGCAGTACAGTACGGTATGTTTACAAATCCACGATCACACATTTTGTTGCAATTTCCACTGCCAAGTAAGCTTGACTGAATTTGACTATAGTAGTGGGTAGTTTAGCCAAAAATGTTTATTGAAGTATAAGTATATATATATATATATATATACATACATATATATATATATATATATATATATATATATATATATATATATATATATATACACATACACATACACATATACACTATATGGACAAAAGTATTGGGACACCTACACGTTACATCCACAGGTGGGTTTCATGACATCCCATTCTAAATCCATAGGCGTTAATATGGAGTTGGTCCCCCCCTTAGCTATAACTGCTTCCACTCTTCTGGGAGGCTTTCTACAAGATTTTGGTGTGTGTCTGTGGGAATTTCTGCTCATTCATCCAGAAGAGCATTTGTGAGGTCAGACACTGATGTTGAACGAAAGGGCCTTGCAATCTCCCTTCTAGTTCATCCCAAAGGTGTTCGATGGGGCTAAAGTCAGGTCTCAGATAGAGAAGCGTGATTCGTCACCCCACAAATACGTTTCCACTGCTTCGGAGTCCAGTGGCGGCATGCTTTACACTACTCCATCTGATGCTTGGCATTGTGCTTAGTGATGTAAGGTGTGCATGCAGCTGCTTGGCCATGGAAATGTGGGAAAACGTGGGAATCAGTATGTTGTCCATGTTAGGCTAACACTAAACCCAAAAGACTGGCTATTCCTTTATGTCTATTGATTTGAGACTAGTGGACCACAGCGGGAATACTGTGCCAGCACTGCCCAGTGGAAAATTGCGCAGGACAACAGTACATTAAAACCTGGATTCAGAACCACTGGCCTAATCTCAGTAAACTTGCCTGCTCTGGGAGGTCCTTGCTGCTACAAGAGCCAAGGACTTAGCCGGTGGCATGCCTGGGGTACCCATAAGTGATTCTGTAGAAATTCTAGAATTTCAATCAGCTCGCACACCATCACCTCTTAAGATCCAAAGCAGATCTTGTATGTACAAATCATGCCGTTTCAAATGAGTCTGGACCAAAAGAAAATTCAGCCACTGATGTTACTGAAAGACACTCAAGGGGTGGCTCTTTATTTCAAATCTCACTGTGGCTAATAAACTATAATTAGCCTGATAATAGGCTTGTGTGGATTCAGTGCGCTTGCTGTTTTCATCAATACAAACGGAGAGGGTGAATGCAGGGACCTCTGAGGCATCACCTCTTCTGTATGCCTAGATCAACAGAGCCATAAAGCTCATTCAAACTTCTAAAAGAGGAAGCTGAGAATATTTATATTACTGGATGCAAAAAAATAGACAACTTCCGCAGGATACCGGCTGCTAAGAATACTGAGCTTGAGAGGTAGAGTAGGTGACGGCCATTAAACTGTCAGGCAGCATTTCACGGAGCCGGTGAGATAATCCATATTACACCCTGAGCCAAAAAGAGAGGCTGCCCCGTCCATCAGCCACGGAGGAAGACCTCTTTATGAGATTGCTTTGATGAAAAAAGGCTGCCGCTAATTACCTGCCGTAACATTATGCCAGCATCTATGGTTATTATAGGCAGAGAGAGTTGAGTTAAGGTGAGGTGGTTGAGCTATAGCAAATTTGGGGCATGTTCCAATCCTAATCTTGAATTCTCCAAACTAAATTGAAAGTGCTGCAGGGAGTGTGTGTGGTGTGTGTGTATGTGTGTGAGGGAGGCACTTTTGGACTGGACTCAGAAGTTGCATGCTAATATTTGCAAAGGAGTGATAAGAGTGGGGGGAGTACGAGGGGGTGGGATGAGGCACAGGGAGAAAAGAGGGAGAGTGAACATTAGAGGAATGTGTTTGTGTAATAGGAGTCACTGAAGCCTGTGCAAACTCTGCAGTCCTCTACTACTACAGCAATGCATGAAACCATCACACACCCATGCAAGCACACACACTTATAGACGTGTCAAAAGGAAGAAGTAGTAACTAAAAGGAAATCTTTTGCCCCTTATTGTTGTTCAAAAAAAGCTTTTTTGAAGGTTTTCTTGTGAAATCCAGCCAAAGTACTCACTGCTACAAAATTAAAATTTTTGTTTTTCTGTCATCATGACGACTTGCTTAGCCAGCTAACCTTTAGCTTAGTTCAGTCTTACACTGGATTTTCTGTTTCACAATGGTGAATCGCTTTTTGAATCACCCTGGTAAAAAGTGAGTCACTTTTGTGAGACAGAAAATCTTACATCTATGGCATCATGTGCTGCACTCCTAACCTGATCCAGGGCAGGTTAAGCTTGATTTTGGATCATGAGCAGCTCTTGGACCCATCAGGGCCAAGCTTATTACCAGTTGGGGACTGATAGAGGTGGATCCCACCAGTCATTTCTAGGTATTTTTTTTTATTTTCCATTGTGCCATTTGTGGCAAGACTATAAAGCACTTATCACTTATCACAGCATTGCTTTTGGCCAATATAAGTGCTTTACTTTCTACACATTTATGTAGTATGACTACTTTTTCCTTCTTTGAAAAATAACCTTCTTGACCCCCCATGTTTCATGCAACTGTATGTTCGTCACAAAGGTCACACTTTTATGTGATGTGCATGCACACCACAATTAATCTAGGCTAAAAGAGAAAGCTGTTAACTGCCTTCGCAAAACAAGTTAAACACAGTTGCTTCTGTTTTGCTTTGCTTTACTTTTTTATGTAGCTGAAACATAGTCAGAAACCCTGTCTAAGCTGAACATGCTTTGTGAAACAGTTCTTCGCAAGGGGCTAAATACAAACACATATGCACACTTGTCTCCCTGTGTTACCTGGAAATGCATGCAGTTTTATGAGCACACAAACAGGCACTGCAAACATGATATCTTGGCAAGTGAAATCCTCTTAGTTATTTTGAGGTTGGTGTAAGAATATTATAAGATTATTAAACCTATTTCTAGACATTTTTACTTATTTTCAGTCATTTTATCTGGTGAAACTGTCTTATTCTACTGGCAGATACTTTTGCTTGTTGAATTGTTTCTTAAAACCAGCAAAATTATCTGCAAATAGAAAATAATTTCTCTAGAGCTGTGAGCCCAGAGCCAACCCCATCCCTGAAGTTCCCCCAGACAGTCCACGCTTTTGCTCCAACTGGCAATTAAGGATGAAGGAAAAAAGTAGATCATCTGGATGGCCCTAAGGATCAAGTGAGGAACCACTGCTCTAGATGAAATCACTTAAAACTAGTGAAAATCTCTAGAAATAAGTGGCATATTCATATAATGAATCTCATAATGAGAAACATTTTATACACTGATGTTTGCACTTGCCAAGATAGATTTTTTTTGCAATGTGCCTTCACACACAGACATATTTACGATTTAATACCACTCTGATAGATTCCAGTACTGGGGGCTGGGGGTGTAGTCTGCAAGACTACGTGTGAGAGTGTGAGTGTGCATGTGTACAGTCCATTGCTGGAGGGGAAAACACAGCCCCTCCACACACACTGTCTCCACTGAAGCATCACTCACCTTACACACGCGAGCAATGCGTGACACAATGGTATTGTCGAAGAAATCAAACTCCTTCCCCGCTTCGCTGAAGAAGAAGTAAATCTTATCATCGTCGCCCACCGCATTGCCTTTAGGTAGGCTCTCCTGGATGTAGGCAGAGCCCACAAATGCCGGGTCTGGAGGAAGAACAAAGTCAAGCATTACTACAACCTATTAACTGAGGTTCACTGATTTTATTGTCTGGTTTTTATTAGCCAAAGGTATTTGTTTAATTTAGATTTTTTTTAAATCAACAGGCAACATTTGAAACACATATGAAACACATTGGCTGGTGGGTGGACCTAGTTTGCACAGACGTTTTCAATGCAGACCTTACAGATTGCAGATTTGACGTTCTCACCCCATACTCTGAAATGTTTCCAAACAGCTGACATTTTTGGAAAGCTTTAGCAACAGCACTCAGTTTACTTGGCAACCTTACTTTATTTACATTGTAAAATCGCAACACAGTTTGCAAATAAACATAAATCGTCTGAGTGCTAATTGCATGTGAGGTGCAGATATTAGCTGATTCTGATAGGGCTTCTCTACTATCAATCAATAATTTGGTTCATGTAGTAACAAATCATTACAGTTTCTAGCTGGTATTATGTTTTTAGAAAGCACGAACAGAGTTTTGCTCAATGTGCTGGGTACTTGCTCATTCATTTTACTACCCCCACCTACTGCCATCTAGTAGCCCTACAGCAGCGATCATAACATGTGGCCAACATTCCAAGGCAACACACTGTAGATAGGCAAACTTTACAGTGCACTGCCAGAAGAACGCTTCTTTTTTTTCCATCTTCTGCTCCCTATCACATGATGTTGCCAAGCTGGGAGGGTGAAAGCTAGGAATGTCAAGATAATTCCCACATAACATGCTACTGTTATTGTGAATACAAAATACTAACTAATGAAAACAACATAATCCATAATTCTATTCTATGATTCTCAAGCCTCTGTTGTGTGTATATTAACTGACTGTGTGCTATGCACTTGAGATATCACTTCATGCCTTCATTCTAATCTACAGTTTGAGGCTTTGACTGGAAAGCATATCTTGCTTACAGAGTTGTACGCTTCTGAAGAAGGGAATGGAGGGGGATAAGGGGACATTGAGCAGAAGCAGAGGGCCTTGACCCGTACCTTGAAGCCAGTTCAATGAGTTCTCAGTCTTTAAGGCAGTACCCTGGCCAAGGCTCTTGTAAATGATGGGTTCGTTCCCTTGGAAGTTACTAACCGTGCCAGCATACAGCTCCCCATCTGCAGACAAATTAGAGGTTCAGACAGACACACATACAATGAAGACAAATTCTGGCATCGATCAGTGTGGGCCAGTTTCAGCACAGATCATATGACTTCACAAAAACACTGATTCTACAGTAGCTGTCTGTATATTGTTTGGAACAATGAATAATTAGATGAAATCACAGGTAAAAAACTACAAACATGTATTTTCAATGATCTAAAACATGACAACCAGTAATCAGTTGATAACAGGTTATCAACCTGTAGTCAAATCATAACATACTTGCCTCGAACTGCGTCAAAATGTGAAATAATCTCAAATAGATTGGCTTATGTGTTTTCTGATGCACATGTATGGTGTCCAAAGTTTGCTAAGTTTTGTACTGGAGTTAAGAAGTAATGGTTATAGCAACCAATTAGCATTCTGCTAACTGCATGCCTAAATCGGGCTTACCCTGATATTCCCAAGGTTCTATGTTCCCAGTGTTCTTTGTTCTCCAGGCCCTTAATTTTTCTGTCCTTTTTCTAAGAAACCACCCTATGTTTCCAGAGCTTTATTTATTCAATTTTAATACTGTTTTTAACATGCCCTCAACAATTCCCCTATCATGTCAAGTTTACGATTGTGCTGACTTGCTATTTAGTAAGCCAATGGCTACACAGCTTGCAGCAACAAAATAACAGGGACATTGCACCACACTTAAAACAATGACTGGATTAACAGTTGATAAGATGATAACCATTGTTGTAAACTGAGTTAACTGTGTTTGTTGTGTTTGTAAAGCTGAAAGCTTGTCTACCTTTAACCCGTTTCATTAGACAGACCCCAGATCCACTACTTCTTATTGTCCAACTTCAAGCCAAAAATAAACGGCGTTAACGTTAACATGACAAAAAACCCAAACATACCTCTACCTTTAAGCTATTTCTCCTCATCCTCTTGGGCCCTAAGCAGCTGCTTATGTTGTCTATTAGGTAGAGCTGGCACTGGCTAAAAAATATGCTAAAATAAGCTTCCATTACTTAGCTTCCATTAGTTAGCTACATTGGCATTCAGTGTTAAACTAAGCAAAATTTAGACATCAAAGATGTCCCGGCCAACACTCATAGTAAGGGATAAAAAAGAGTGCATTTCATTTTTTGCCTAATTTTTGATTTAACTAACCAAATATTCAGCAATTATCAAGCTAGAATGAGGTTAGTTGAGTTTTCTGCATTTTCTGATGTTGCACCTACCAGCCATGATGGCAGTGGACTTGTATTCAGGGTTAAAAGGGCAGCGGCTTCGCCCGTCCTCTGTCACAATCTCCCCTGTCCCGCTCCGTACAAGAGAGAAGTCCACTGTGTTCTGGGAACAGACACACAAACATCACTTTGACAAAAACGTCATGCACTGTCTTCTGTACAGTGACCACTTAGACCTAAACACACAGTCCACAACTGATGCACTTGAAGGGGATGTGATGTTACAGAGATCAGTTTGCAGAATCAGGAGGAAAGAGAGGATAACAGGCTCAAGGCTATACAGCAGTTCTGTGTATGTTCCGCCATGTGTGGGCCGAGAGTTCTGATAAGGGGTTTGGAGGAGGGATGGAGGATCCTGGTTTGGAATGCAAAGCTGCGCCAGGACATCCTGATGCTCTGCAGTCACGCTGGCTTTCTCTGGCTTTGGTGTGTTGAGGCAGCACAGAAGCTGATGTCTTTATAGGGGCATGCAGAGAGTGTCCTGAAGACACAAAGCATCTCCAAGCAGGAGTGCCGTTTCAGTTGTTTTGTAGCATGTGGTGACTGCAATAGTGACAGTGAAGAAAAGCAATCTGATCACAGCAGTATTTCTATTTTCTGAGTATTTCTACTCTGAAATAAGTTGAATCTTTAGTATGTAATATATTTAGTGTATTTCACAATATTTCATCTACACCAAATGTAGTCAAGAGACATTTGTGTGTGATGTTTGCTTCTTTAGTCTTGTACTGGAGCTACGAAGCTGATGTGTATACTCCACCAGTTAGCACTGTGCAAACTGCATCTGAAACACATGGAATAATGCAGTCTTTTTTTTTTCTTAGTGGTACACACTGTTTTTTTTTTTGAACACTGCTTCATGCTGTCCGCCTCCATTTTTGCTAAACAAGAAAGTTGCAACTGTAAATTAGCTGAACTAGCTAGCTATTATTTTGATATGTACAGGCAGAGAATTATACTGCTTCCATGAACTAGCAAACATGGTGCTGCTAGCAAAAACAAGCTTAACTGCTTTTTGTTTCATATCATGACTAAAAGCACTAGTTGAAAAAGCAGAAAAAAAACACTAGGTTAAAAAGATATAGGTTTAATGACTACTTTGAGTTCTTTTGTGTGCCCTTAGGGCAGATATGCAAGGCGTCCAATGTGCAAAAACACATCTCCCACTGAAAAGTAGAAATAAGTCACCTTTATTCTTAAAAAACTTGTTCAACGTGATTCCCCTCTTAAATAATCAAACCGTAATGAATTCTTGAGTAATCTCAATCATGACTTGCTTATGTGGTTTTTGACACCGTAGAACATCCTGTTATTTATGAAAATAGACAAAATTACATTGCATGGCTGAAAAACATAATAGTCATGTTGAAACCCGAATTTTGTCCAAACCCAAACTTTGTCCATTTTTATAGATTACAGTATGTCATGCAGTGTCAGAAACAACATAAGCAAGTTTATTGAAGATTACTTAACAATTCATACCTCGTAGTTGCAGTGCATAACTACTGAAGCAAACTTCAGACACAACAGACTTTTTTCTATTGTTTTCAATGGGAAACCCCAGCCTCAACAAGTGTGCACCACAGTTCTTGAGTAGTTCTTCAGACTTGCTTATGTGGTTTCTGACACTGTATGACATACTGTTACCTATAAAAATGGTCAACATTACACTGCATAGCTAACAACAGTAGTAGCCATGTTGAAACCTGAATTTGGTCCAGATCTTTGTCTATTTTTATAAATGACAGCATGTCATACAGTGTCAGAAACCACATAAGCAAGTTTATATGAGATTATTTAACAACTCAAACCTTATAGTTCTAGCGCACAGCGTAAAAGAAGGAGACTTTAGATATCAAACATATCTGATTGACAAATCATAGTTGATTGACTACATTTGTGCTAAGGGAAAACTAGTAACTTTTATTTTCCTTATGACAGTTTTGGTGCTTGACACGTTTGACTTTTTCTACTTTTACATTCAGTCTGACAAATTACATTGAAAAGTGAAGTACTGACAATTGCCAGGGATAGAGCGCAAACATTGCTCTGATAATGAGTACAGTTTTCCCTGTACTCCCTGTTTATGGTAGCCATAAGCTGTTAAACCCTACCAAAACTGTGCACCCTTGCTTTTTACATTTCATTAGAGAAAACATTTCTTTGCAGGTCGCATAATAAAAGCCATTCTCAAAGAAGTGAGCTGTGCTCAGCCCTGCAGGTGCAGCGCTACAGTAGATCGTTTCTCATTCCGACATCATTCGCCCTGCGAAGGTGGGGAGATTTTGATTGACTGAGTAAATTACATGAATAATTCATCACTCCCCTGCTGCCGGTTAAAAGCACAGAGGAGCAGAGAGGAAGGCCTGCAGCAGGGTACAGTGGAAAAAAAAAATTAAATGCACACTTACAATGTATGCGCAGATCGGGCTGAAGGCATACGTCCCACATACGTACAGATGAGTGGCGTTCACACGCAGCAAGATCTTGATGTAATTGAAACAGTCAGTCTGGTGGAGTGACGACAAGAGTGTGTGAGTGAGAAATACAGAGAGAGAGAGAGAGAGAGAGAGAGAGAGAGAGAGAGTCATTATTTACTTTCAGCAGTCCAGTTCCCATACTCATAAATAAACCGTACAGAAAAAAAACAAAGCTACTCATCGGTTACTAGAACTGTCCTTTGCAATTCGCTATATCTGCTCTAATACCTCTAATTAAAAAGAAATAGAATAGCCTGGAAGAGCCTTTTGGCAGCAGTGTGTCATCTGTCTGAAGACACAGCGCCTATTACACTGTCTCATCAAGACCCGAGCCTCCATCCAAGCCTTGCTCTCCAGGCAAATCAATCAGGCACCAAATTAAGCATGGCGATTATTAATCTAATAACAGCCTTCTCACAATGTCAAGCTTCTGGGGAAATTACAGCAGCGAGGTGGCAGAGCAGTAAGACCCTGCAAATGAAATAGAATGACCTCACCCACTAGCCAGAGCAATTCTAATTCTAGCAGTTATGTGGCAATTTGGCCACTTAGGAGGCTTTTTCTTCACATGTGATCAGAAGATACAGTATGTACTTATAAGAATAACCTGAGTGACAGTGTTGGGATGTTCTTCTGAGATTCACTGGGTGTTTGGCAATTTACTCACTTGTAAGTTTTTGCCTTTGAAGCTGCACTTTTCTCGTTTCTCTTCTGGCGTGCTCCATGTGAACTGCAAAATCATTAAAGGAGATACGATGCAGGTTACATTGATTTAACCTTTAAATGCATGAGTGTTTTACAGACTGTTCATACGCACAGACGCAGCACTTACATTGTCAGAGACCATCCTTAATTTATCATTTTCAGTACAAGTTATTCATTTTTCAGGAGATAATTTTGAGGAGATAAAACACATGCATAAGAAAGGAGAGCGTCAAAGCAAAATAAGTGAAAAAACAAAACTGGATTTCACAAAATGATTAAGAGATACAGGGAAAACTGGACTCCTAACAACCATACAAGACCTGGTAGACCACCAAACCATTTGTGAAAACATAACTTATCTCTTATAAACAAGCATTTCTAGATTTTTTCCAAATGAACTTTGCCACTCCCTGCATTAGTCTGGCAGGGTCTAGGCTCATATACTCCTCTCTTGCTGTAGCAACTTCTAAAACATGGTGCACTCAGTGCACTCAAAGAAGAAGTGAATAAGCAGGCAGAAAGAGCTTAATGAGATGACGGATAGCACACACATTTCCAGACTTCCTGTGATGGGAATAACAGACTGTTCCACGGCACACTAGCACATCGCCTATACACTGGTGACACAGCTTTGGTGATACTGGCCAGCTGTGTCATTATGTGAGCGTTTATGCCCACTTTCAGTGATAGTGATCCAACACAGAGATTTTAAACGATAGCACTACCAAATTAGGCTTTAAAGTGGAAGGTTGGTGGACTGTTCTCAGTCTAGCAGTGACACTGAGGTGTTTAAAAACTCCAGCAGCACTGCTGTGTCTAGTCCACTCATACCAGCACAACACACACTAACACATCACCACCATGTCAGTGTCACTGCAGTGCTGTAATTATAGAACTACAACGTTCAACTATATGGTAAGTGGACAATGGGTGTAGATATATAGAGGTATACTTAATAAAGTGGCAAGTCAGTATATATATATATATATATATATATATATATATATATATATATATATATATATATATATATATACACACTATAAGGGCATTTATCAGTCATCCTTGTTTTTATTGGACCTTCTGATACCTACCATATCTCCACTGAGTCAGGTCACGCTCCTATACAAACACATATCTTATGATGGGTACTTTTCTTGTGGCATGTCAACTAAGAGGCAGCTGTTGAGGGACAGCCAAAGCAAACACTAAGCACGTATATATGTATATACATGTCTGTGCACGCGCTCATACAAAAAATACCACAAAGCAAACACGCATGAACACATGCACGCACACACATGTACTCACATTGCGTTGCAGTTGTGGTCTGCTGATATCACTGAGGTTGAGGGCGAAGAGAGTCTCTCGAGCGCCTACATACAGCATATTGTCTTCCGGGCTGAGGAGCAGAGAGGTGTAATTGAAGACTCTTTCGGCCGAAAACCTCTTGGCTGACCTTTCCTTTGCATCTTGAAACACAGATAGGGAGAGAGAGCGAGGAGGTAACAGAAGTTTGGAGGGGAGAAGAAAAAAGATGAGATGAGGTTGTGCCAGAACATCCTCAATTATGGGGAACTAGAAGCATAGAAACACATGTTGAACACATACAGTAGTTAAAAGGGGGCTGTATCCTACATTTTTCTTTTTTTTCCCCCTTGAGGTTCGCATATAATATTTGCATGTTTTTATGTATCAAAACTGTCACAAGACATTGTTGTCATTGTATTTTTCTACATCATTTGAGTGGAGCCACTGCCCATTACAATGGTGAAAGGACCAATAGAAATGCTCTAAAATTGCTTAGAATAAATTCTCTTTCCATTAACTTACACAAAAGTAAAGAACATTTTTCCTTCTCCTGTAAAGCTGCCAGTTTGAAGCTACTTGTTTTTTTTGGACAGCAACAATATTGACTTTTCTTTATCCCTTAGAATTAAACAGTCCGTTTATGTTTCTGTGCCTTTCAGACTAATATATATAAACATCCTCTTTTCTGATTGGCTGCCCTGTATTTTGCCTCAATTAAAAAGCAGACTAGATTGAAACATTTCTCATCACTAGGGCTGCCCAATTCTAAAAATGTTTTGAGTCAACTCTGACTTGATAGTATGATTGATAGTGTAAATGAAAAAGGGATCTATATATTTCATTCAGGTGCTATACCTGTTGTTCAGGGGCACAAGATGTCAGTTTAACTATATGACCTGTTTGACCTTACCAAAGCAGTGTGGTGAGCTATCTCTAGCTAAGTTAACTAAGCCAAATTAACAGGGCCAAGCTTAACTGTGCATGTTTTTTTTTTTACAAACTGTACATTTAACCTTTTTTCCACTTTGTCTAAATTAAAATAGCTGTTTTTAGATCGACTGAGTACAGAGTAACAGCAGAATACTCCATGAAGTTGTCTCTCGATTCCCAAATGTCTGGTTAATTTGGGATCGACTCCCAGCCAAATGTGAATAAGGTGGCTAAACTGTTGCAGGCTGTGAATGCATAGCTTTTCATGACACTACAAAAATGGGCTGTTTCCATATATGGACTGTATGGACTAAGAAGTGAAGTGAAGCATTAACAGTGTTTACATAGTATATCAAACTCTTATTTTGAAGAAGCAGAAGATTTTCCATGTTACGGGCCCTTTAAATAATGAGACAGATGTAGCTGAGTAATAAAAGCGGATGTAGCTCTCATGCCTTGTGAAGAGTGGAGCTACCTTTAAAGAGTCATGCAAACCGCCAAAGAAAATATGAACAAGCTCCACCTTGAATGAGCAACAAATAAAACCAGTTGTGAACTGTCTACGTCTGTTAAAACGAACAAGCATGTGTGTGGTCGCACGGATCTCAGGGACAGATGTTCATCTCTTAATCAAAGCCGCCGCTGCACTGTATCATTACACGGACACTGCGGGCTGTTTCTCTGTTTCCATGGCAACCATCTCCCCATGCAAGAAGCCGAGTTTATTTACTGCCACTAGGGGAGCTCTGTCACCTAAAAAGCTGAAATAAGACTTGTGGGTGAATTTCTTTCTTCACAAACATTTTCTGGGTGCCACAGGACATGCTTTCGTAAAACCTCAGAAGCAGCTGCTTGACAATTTGGTGGTATTTTAGTCAGCATACAGGGCTGGATACGTCTGCCTCTTTGCACGCTGACACCCACTCTCTGTAACCTCTCATCGTCCTCCGAGCTGCCAAAGCCAACCAGCAAAATTCTTAGTCTTTTAGTGTTCTGTCCTAAAAGAATGCCTCACTCACAATGCTAACAGTGTTAATAATGAATGAAATGTGGTAGAGGTCTGCTAGCATCATACTGTGGCAACCTGTGTCATGTCACTTCATGACAGAGCAGGGGTGCTATAATATGATCATTAGAGCTGGTGGGGAAACATCGTCAGTGATATCATTCTAACGTGCCCAGTGCTAACTTTCATTCACTGTAAGTCATGTTAGCATTTTAGGCCCAACTAAAAGCTGAGGAACACATGGACTTATCAATTGAATTATCTGTAATCCATCACACAAAAAGAATTTAGCCTAATGTAAAGTCTGTAATGCTTTACTTCAACTCTGCTACATAACATTGACAATCATGCCATGGCAGATGTCACACACTGTCATGAGCTCTCTCGGAAAATTCGTAAAAATGTGCAGAAGTGTGTTCTCTGTGTATGAGAAAGTAGATCTCTAAGAGGAGGGCTGGTGACCACTGATGCAGACGATATGTTAACTTGTTTTCACTTAGAAAATAAAAAAAAAAAACATATAATTTGACCAGGGTGTTCAAACTTCTGCGTGCAACTGTATGTCATAATGAATAAGTAGGGTACACTTAGCAAAAATGAGCTGTCATGACATCAAATGTTATGACGTACATAATGACATTTGTAATGATGCTGTTGTATTACTGAACATTACTGGTCATGACAACTCAAGACAGCATGTAAAGTTTGCCAGGACGTGTTTATAGTACGGTTATGTCAATGTTATTTATAAGGGTTCAAGCACGGTGTTAAAGTCTTCATCCAACATATATTGAGCTAGCAATGGCTGTCTGTTGGAGCTACTTCTTTCTCTCTGCTTGGAAGAACTATCTTCTGGACAAACTATGAATAGAGTTTACAGCTGAGAGTCACAAATAAGTATATGGACTCTGTAGTGTTTGCGGTCACATTCTCTGTATTTAATATCCCTGATCAATCAAGTCCACTTTTTCTGAAGTACACTGACCATGAGCAGTGCTCCTTTGACTCATCAGACACAGTGAGCTCAGTGTAATCTTGCTCTTCCAGCTCTGACATGAGTGTGCATAGACGTAAGCCTTTTTCTGGTAAGCAGCTGAACTCTATGATGATTATTCCTGTGGGTTTGACTTGGACCTGGGGAAGGAAGGTGACGTGCTTGGTGAAAACAGCTGTGCCCCTGCTTTGCTTTTCCTCAGAGCAGGGATCGGCGAGGTGGGGGATGGGGTGTGGGAGCAGAAGATCTGTGTGTGCTGACTTCGGAATACCCGGGGGAGGCAGCAGTACAGTAATAATAGGGCATCGTCCTTCTACCAGGAGGCCTTATTATTGCTAAATCCAGTCTGCTAAACCACAGGAGGGTCTAGGCTACTGGGTTATCTCTCTCTCTCTCTCTCTCTAGAAGGAAATGGGCCGCCGCTCAGCGCTGGCAGCGCTCACCACTCCGAGCTTCAGGGAAATTTAACGGTGATTTAGCGAGGCAAAGACAAACAGCATGGCAGAAAGCAAAACAGGGGCTTTGGAAGGATTTGCACTGAAAGGAGCGGCGCGGCCAATTATTCTCCAGAGTCGCGTCACCGCGCCTCTCCTCTCCCCCTGCAGCTCATACAATGAGGCGAGTAATTGGGCTCTATTAAGGGAAACTCACACAGGCCCACGCAAGTGCGAATATTTTCCTTTTTTTTATTCTTTCTCGCGTGCCTTCCTTACACTGCATGCACTACAATTGCTTCTTCACTGTCAAGTTGGCACCAAGGTCAAAAGACTGTCAGCAGCATACTAACAGGACATGGAAAACAGTGAGGACATGGAAAGCCTAATTTGCTAATGCAGAATATCACATAACAGTGCTCATGTAAACATATCATCGCTGGATAAAAACACCTTACTTTGTATCTCTGAAATGGTAACTTTGCAGGAGAAGAAAACAAATTCTTACTTTTAATGTAAGTTAATGTGGCTAGATTTTTTTTGAAGTAAGTCTGAACCATTTCTATTAGTGGTGTAATGGTAGAAAAAAATCAGATATGACTCAGTGATGTCGATTTGGCAATAAGAAGAAAATGTGTCTTGTGTTATTAATGTCATTTTCAGTCACAAAAGGGATCACATTAGGGGGTGATATGGCAAAAATATCATATGGAGATACGTCAAGATATTTTCACAATACACAATACGTGTTACGATCTTTTGACACAGACAAAATGCACTAGCAGAGCCACATTTAAAAACTGTAATTAAAAACTATGAATGCAATGATTTTTGTATAATGTTTCAATTATTGGACTGCACTAAATCCAGTAAAACAGGACTACTTATGCTCTCTTTGTCAAAAAAAAGAGTATGGGCAACATCCACAATATAGTCAAAAAAGTGTATTATTATTATTGACCAAGATACCAAAATTTATCACAAAAACTATAAAATATCATCATGTGGTCCACCTATAGTAACAGTCTAATGTTCTAGCCACAAGTTAATATGTTAGCCCCAAGCTGACACACTATCCACGAGCTAACATGCTGGTCACGACACATCAATATGATGCGATACAATACACTACAATAAAATTCAATACAATGCAATTACATCATTATTTTTTATTGGTCCAGTCATTACAGAATGTTTGTAAAGGGCCGTTGCTGTCTTTGAGTGGTTTAAAGGAAGAAAAAATGAGAAAAAAGAATGATATGATCCAGCATAGATTAGTTTAGTTACTTTTTTAGTTGCTATGCCTCTTATCCGCTGTGCATTTTTGAATCCCAAATACGTATAAAATGTGTGTTCCACTTACTCAGATCAGTTAAAGTCAGCTACATGTATAAACTTATATAAAGCTATAACAAAAATAAATCAATCATATTTATTAGCCAGGACTTTCTGATACAATCTAACCTATCCATCACTTGCCAACACTACTGCTATAAGTTAAGCTTCAGGGAATTTGGCAGATGGATCAAAAGGTACAGCTGCAGCTCTGCATCTGAACGCCTGCTCCCGAACATCTGTCCAACTGGAGCAAAGACCAACCATTGCCTATGGAGTTAAATTTATGTTAAAAAATTCAAATAAAATAATAAAATCCACAAGCAAAATATTATGTATCAAAATGTCTAAAATATACCGCAATTACAAATAATGAAAGTTGAATCAAACAACACTTCAAAAAGATTCCTACTCATTTTCACTCATTTTCACTCATTCTGATATAAATGTATTACTCATTTT